TATAGCAGTAATAATCATAATTATAGTAATATATAATTATAGTTACAAATACCAAACATTTTTTTCTCTGTGTGGGGGGATACCGAGGAGGTAACCACTAGTTGAAATATTGTCCCACAAATTACATAATTTCATATGATTTCATCTGATTACAAATAATTTTTTTCATTACATATCAAGTAATTTGGTAAAATATACGATTTTATTTAATATTATACAATGATTTCTCATGGTTACATATATAATTATCGAATTATACATAGAGATTTCATATGAATTTGATAATGATTTCGAGGAGGGACTTTGTCCCACGATTACATTAAGTGGTTACCCCCTCGGGGGATCGGTTATGCGTCGTTTACATAGCCAGTCAAAGAAAACGGCGGTCTCGAAATGCAACTGCGAAACGCCTAGATATACATGTAAAAATACACGCTCAGATTATTAGTCCTGGATTGCTAAGCTTACTTACCGAGAGGATTGCTCGATTCGAAGCATATTCGATGCTTAGTCGGCCGGATGGATGACGGTTTGCGAAAACGGATTCACGGCGATTCCCGTTCGTATTCGCCGAGGCTCACCGAAGGCGCGAAACTGCGCCCGATCGGCAGCCGCTGATTGGTTCGAAACGGCGCAGGCGCAGCCGCGGCACGACCGCGCGCTATTTTTTAAAACTGTGTGATAAGCGACTTGTCCTTAGACGAAGCGCGATGTGGGTTTACGTAATATTGCTACGTTGTTGTAAATAATAAATAGATTGTACGTTGCATATATTACGTGGCTCGTGTATATTTATTCCCTTATCATAGGTATCTTATATAAGCACGTGCTTGTTAAGCATGTTGTTAGTAAAATTAATTTACTTAGGCCGGAGTTGGTTTTTATATTTAAGACTGTTTTAAGTAGAGTCTTAAGATATTTTAAAATTGAATTTACATTAAATCTATGATCTCGAAAAATAAATTTTGATAGCAACTTAATATTTAAAAAATACAGATTTATTGTGCCTTTTAATTGAATTTTATAAATATCTAAGGAAGATTCTGAAAACATTCGTGATAAGAAAGAAATTAATAAAATTTTGTGATTATTATGCATAATAATTATGGAAATAAATATGGAAACATTTGTGATGTCATTTTTTACTGAAATACTTTAGAAATGATGTATTATATTTCTCCTCTTATGTGAAAAATTACAATTGGAAACTACATATCTACTGGCGATAAGATAGAGATGAAAATGTCCAAATTTTACGATAATTTACTCGGTATTAAATTAGTCAATAATTTATGAAGGCTGGTAAAATGGTAATTTAAAAAAATTACAAAAATAAAATAATTTGATAAAAGTTTAAAAACATAAAGTTTAAAGATAAAGTTTAAAAACATTTTATTTTATTTAAATTTTTATTTAAATTTTATTTTGATACTACGTATTAATATAATAATTAAGAAACTATATAGGTACGTAGTAACTAGAGAAACTTCAATAAATTTTTTATTAAAATTTTGAAAACAAAAGTGTGACAGGTACAGTAGTCTTAAACCATATTTTTTCACACCTTATAAACTTATAAAATTAAATGATAGAAATAAAAGAAAAAATATATCATCGTGTGACTTTTCAAATTACGTGATTTTAAAAAATCACATACTGATTTGGAACAATCCATTGCATGATTTACATGTTTTAATTGCATGATTTCGTTATGTAATTTTATGACGTAATTTTTTTCAGTAAGGTACGTTTAGGTTTAATCAATATCCCTGTTATTCTATCAGCGATTCCTATTAGGAATATTGAATGATTGTATAATTTTATACATATGCACGAAAATACAGTATCTATTTGTATATAAAATAGGGCTCGCTATTATACGTTTAAACGAAAATACGTTTACACGTATAATTAGTATATCCGTTTATTAGAAACGTTTTTCCGAATATACGTGTAATTAACTATTATACGTATATTCGGAAAAACGAATATGCTAATATCCGATATGTAAACGCGTTTACACGTATAATTAGCATATCCGTTTATAAAAGAAACATTTTTCCGAATATACGTGTAATTAACTATTATACGTATATTCGGAAAAACGTTTCTAATAAACGGATATACTAATTATACGTGTAAACGCGTTTACATATCGGATATTAGCATATTCGTTTTTCCGAATATACGTATAATAGTTAATTACACGTATATTCGGAAAAATGTTTCTTTTATAAACGGATATGCTAATTAAACGTGTAAACGTTTAATTATATTATTCAACCCAGTAAACACAATGTTACATGTACGTTACATGTAATATTGTGTTTACTCTCTCTCTCTCTCTCTCTCTCTCTCTCTCTCTCTCTCTCTCTCTCTCTCTCTCTCTCTCTCTGGGAAGTAAACGTTTTTTTGAAAGAATATAAACGGATAAACGTTTTACGTTTACACGTATCTTCGAAAAACGAAATAAAATTAGAGCCCTAGTATAAAACTATAAGAAACAACAAATTTTACTAAAATTACGAATAAATTACCATTTTTCCGTAATTTTACCGTAAGTAATTGTAAAATTAAATTTGACGGTAATTTTGCATCTCTACGATAAGATCATGTTCCTATAGGTCGGGTTTTTTTTTTACACTCGTATAGTGGATTCAACATCAGCAAAGTATTATATACATTGTTATTATATTTTGATTTGAAGAATTGTATTATAAAATTTTAAGTAATGTGTGTATTTTTATATTTATAAAATGTTTAATTTTGTGTTTATGATTTAAAAATTATAATTTATATTATACTTTTTTTAAAAGGTAATTTAGCGCGCTATTTGTATAACATTGGCCTGTTCTTTTTGGCTGAACTTTTGCACCAGTTCATCTTTCTTCCTCTTTTTTCCTCTTGGAGAGAAAAGGAAGAAAGATGAACTGGTGCAAAAGTTCAGTCAAAAAGAACAGGCCTATTGCGATTTAGCCGGACTCGCACCACGCCAGACGCCAAAACGTAACTACGTAGTTCTCGAATCGAAAATAGATGTATTGGCGCTAGTGTATGGGCAATTCTATGTAAAATGTTGGGCTAGCCGATCTTAGGTTTCTCTCTGTCCTAATGATCCTAAACTTGCCGGACGATAATTGCTCTTTGAGTCCGATTACTTCGATTACCATTCCAAGATATTGTGTATGTGGCACGTGCACTGGATGGATCGGCAATAGCCATCAATGTAGCTAAGATAATTTTAATCATTTTTCGAAGGTATATACGATATACGTACAGTGTCAGCGTTCATTGTCTATGTCTAGGTTGTCGACAAGATCACGAACCCCACGAATGCTTATCAATGAAATATTAAATACCGCACGTATAGATTTCATCAGGCATTTTTAGACATCTTGTCATCCTGTGTATTCGTGACAGATGTGTATATTGAAGTAGGATTCATAGTGAGTTTAGTGAAGATTGCAAAATTTTGTTGATGAAACATTCGATTTTCTGCTAGAATTTTATTCAAGGGAGATTTATAATAATGGCCATTCTACAATAAATTAGTCATAAATCAGAAGTTAGAAGCTGGAAATTAACGACTGTGATTGGTCAATTTCCAGCTTCTAACTTCTGATTTATGATTAATGGCTTGTTGCAGAATGCATGTAACAGTTTGTTGGCGATCTTGATTTCGTTCTTATTTGTTGCAGATGAAGGGACTCATATTTTTTTACATACTCTCATTATGCTCCAGTCAACTTGGAGCCGACAAGAAGATCAACAAATACGTAACAACTTTAATAAATGCCAAATGGAAGGAAACACCTCTTGTTCTCGAGGCAGCTGAATATCTTAGCGATGAGAATCCAAATTACTTTTGGAAATTTGTTGAATCATATTCCAAAATAACTAAATATTCTACACCACGTAATTATGTTATTATTTGATTACGTTATTTTTCAGTTGAATTGAAAGTGCAAGCCAGTCATACTCAATTTCTCTAATTATTTCAAACAGGTACACAGCAGGACAATTATAACATAATTTTGCAGTTGGCTCAAAATTATCTGTCTCAATCTGAGATAGCAGTTTTTAAGTTAGCAATGTCTTTACGTATTTATTCTGCACGTGTGGAAATGTTCTTTCAAATGGCTGTGAATAAAAATGTTTCTTCGTATGGATTGTGCGACAATTTTGTTAACATTGGTGAAACATTTACTTGTTCTCTAGAAGATATAGATAGGTTGCTTGAACAGGTTGGCAGTTTAACATATTGTATTATATAATTCATCTATTAAAATAATTTATTTGTTAACATAACTCACATAATTACATTATTTATTTTTCAGGATACATGGGAAACTGTAGATACTTATGATGTAGATCATAAATATTTAAGTACTCCGGAATCTGATAAAATAATGATATTGTATGGTCAGGTTGGGACATCTACGTTTATTGATTTTCATGAGAAGCTAAAAAATATAGCAGAAACAAAAGGAATCAATTACATTCTTCGTCATTTTATTAAGGATTATAATGTAATAGAAATACATTTTAGACATTGAATATACTATATAGAATTTTGTTTCTTATATCTGAACTATATAGAATTTTGTTTCTTATATCTGAAACGTTTTACAGGAGAGGGAGGATATGAAATTGCGTTTATCAGGCTATGGTGTAGAGTTGCAAATGAAATCTACAGAGTACAAAGCAACTGATGATTCTGATATTAAAGACAACACAGGAAAAAGCTCCGAAATGGCAAACGATGGCATGGAAGAAATTGAAGGGATCAACTTTATGATTTTAAAGTAAGGTGGTTAGTAAGAACGTAAAGTGTTTAGTTTATGTATTTCTACATGTTACTTTGCATCAATATGGTGTAATGTATTATTTTTTCAGGAAATTATATCCAGATCATCAAGCCGAATTGGATAAAATACAGACATATTTACTAGAAACTAGTCATGAAATCGGTGCTTTTAAAGTATGGCAGTTTCAAGAACTAAGTCATCAGGCAGCTGAAAGAATAATGAAGTCTCCTTCTGCAGAAGCACTAAACATCTTGACTGATATATCGCAAAATTTTCCTATGCAAGTATGTATTGAAATGAATTATGTATCTATATGGCTGGGTATATATGTAATAATTTATTTTTATATAGGCAAAATCACTAATCAGAACTAAAGTAAATATTGATATGAAGAAGGAAATGAAATTGAATCAAGAAATATTTATGGCAAGTCTAAATATACAGCCAACTGATACAGCGCTTTTCATCAATGGCTTATATTTTGACCTGGAAGCTATTGATATTTTAACCCTTTTAGAATCTTTAAGGAATGAATTACGAGTGATGGAAGCTCTTCATAAAATTGGTACACTTTGCAAATAGTTATATATATGTAAATTTTAAATAATATAACTTTAAACTATACATATTTAAAGAATATATTTTTATGAATTATTTTAGGTTTTAGTAATAAAAAAATGAGTAAATTATTAGCTTTGGATTTATCTGGAGGTACAGATAATCAAAATTTTGCAATGGACATAAGAGATTCCGCAATTAATTGGATCAACGATATCGAAAATGATCCACGCTATAGTAATTGGTCACCGTCGTTAACCGAATTATTACGGCCAACATTTCCTGGCATGCTCAGAAATATTAGAAGAAATTTATATAATCTAGTTAGTATTATTAAATTAGTAATAACAATAATTCCTTATTTTATGTTGAATAATTAATACATGATTTTTCTTCAGGTATTAATTATCGATCCTTTAAGTGACGATTCCATGCCACTTATTGCTCTGGCACAATCTCTCTATGCGCATTCTGCACCATTGAGGGTAGGATTTGTCTTTGTGACAAATTATAATACATCTGTAACAGGTTTAATGGATGCCAGTGTCGCAGTTAACAATGCATATCACTATTTTGCAGACACTAGAAGTCCAAAAGAGGCTTTACATTTCTTGTCAGAGGTGAAGCTTTATATTTAGCATTTTAATGTGTCTTTATTTTAAAAATAATAATATTTATTTTTGCTTCAGTTGGGAAATTACATCGGGCATTCTGGTGCCGACGTGGATGATATAAAAAAAGTTATTAGATCCAGAGACTCATCCGCTAGTATACCTTACATTCTTGGTGAGGAGTCAGAATATGATGTAGGACGGCATCTAGCCAGCGACTTTATAAAACGATGTGGTTTCAAGAAGTTCCCACAAGCTTTGTTAAACGGTGTACCTTTGACACCTAATCAGATCAATTCTGAATCGTATGAGGAAGCAGTGTTATCTACTATTATGTTGCAAACTCCTATATTACAAAAAGCAGTGTATCGAGGTGAAGTAACAGAAGGAGACGACGTCGTTGATTTCCTCATGAACCAACCAAACGTTATGCCACGGTATGTAACACTTGTAGTTAAATCTTTTTTATATCTAATCAACATAGTAAATTGTTTAGGTTTGATTACCTTGATTATTTCGCTTTCTAGATTGAACGAACGTATTTTAAAAGTGGATAAGAATGCATGGTTAAATTTAATCGGTACAGTTCCTGAAGATGATGATTATACTAAATGGGCTTCTCAAAATCTATCGACTTATTTAATGAAGAAAATGAATTACTTGTTCGTACCGCGTCGCAATATGCGTCATTTATATTCCTTCTGGGTTGTAGCTGATTTGAAATCATTATCTGGCAGACAATTACTACGAGAGGCTCTTGAATATGTAGTATGTAATTTAGAATTATACTTCGTGTGATATATATAAAATAGAATATATAAAATTTATATATTTTTATTAGGAATCAAATACTGATGCGCGAATTAGTATTATTATTAATGCTGAAGATGACTCGAATTTAAAGTCTGATATTAACAAAATTGTGCTTGCTGCAATAAGTGCATTATCACCGGAAAAGGCTATACTTTACATGCGTAAAATCCTCAAAGAAGACACCGTAGCTCTCATTGCTAATGATAACTTTGAGATTGAGGTAAGATATACGTCTATAAGTGATATATATGAATCTGTGGCAGCAATCTTAGAGAATCAAAATTCGATATTATCATTGCATCAACATTACATTAAAGCCGTTTTAAACATGGAATTGGGAACAAGAGCAGTTTTGTGCAATGGCCGTGTTATTGGCCCTTTGGATGATAATGAAGAATTTACAAATGACGACTTCTCTTTATTAGAAAGATTCAGCCAAAGCAACTATGGCGAGAAATTATTTATGAAATTGATAAAGGATCAAATCTTCAATGAAGATGAATATGGTATTTCATGATTTATTACTTAAAAATCATAGTTTTAAATGTATGCGGTAAAAATCATTAAATGTAATATTTTATGTAGAAGAAAATAATATTACGGATGATATGATTATGAAGATCACTTCACTCTTAGTGCCACGTCCACAAACTCGAAGTCGATATGATGTTCCTTTCCATGGAGATGATCACAGGTAAAATAATGACTTTTATATATAAAAATAACTAAAGAACACAACATAGACAAAAATGTTCAATCACTGAATATATATTACATACAAGAATTCATATTTATATACATATGTTTGTTTTATTTTGCAGCGTTATAAAAATTCCAGCAGCTAATCCCGATGAAGTTGCCTTTAACTTTATTGCCATTGTAGATCCAGTTTCACGTGGTGCTCAAAAATTGGGCCCAATATTGAAAACACTACAACAAGCCTTAAATTGCAATATAAAAGTATTTTTGAATTGCGTAGACAAGAATAGCGATATGCCGTTGAAAAGGTAAGTAATGTTTGAGTTTCTTCATAATTTTTTCTTATTTGTTATAAATTATAATATATTTTTCACTCTTATTACAGCTTTTATCGATTTGTGCTCGAACCCGAGTTGCAATTTACAACAGAAGGAGATATTAGTGGTCCTATCGCAAAATTTACAAAACTTCCAACTTCATCTTTATTAACACAATACATTCATGCACCTGAGAACTGGCTTGTTGAAGTAGTTCGCAGTGTTTATGATTTAGATAACATTAAACTTGATAATGTTGCAATAGGCGTACACAGGTAAAAATATTAAAATATATCTTATTATAAATATTTGAATCAAATAATTTTTATTTTAGTTTTATTAAAACTTATTTTTTGTATTGCTTCAGTGAATTCGAATTAGAATACTTGCTGCTCGAAGGTCACTGTTTTGAAGCAGTAATGGGAAATCCACCAAGAGGCCTTCAATTCACATTAGGCACTGAGAAACAATCTGTGATGGTTGATACTATAGTAATGGCCAATCTAGGATACTTCCAACTTAAAGCAAATCCTGGCGAATGGGTGTTGCGACTTCGGCAAGGACGGTCCGCAGAAATATACGACTTTACTACTATTGATGGACAGAACGTTATACAAAATGGTAACGATGTGAAAGTCCTTATAAGTTCTCTGAGAAGTCACGTGTTGAAAGTGAAGGTTTCCAAAAAGCCAGACAAAGCGGGGGTAGATCTTTTATCGGACAACGAGAAAGATTCTGGATTATGGAACTCCATTTCTAGGTACATTCGATTGATTGAATTATTCGTATTCTATGTTTCACGAATTCCTAATGCTGGGTGTTAGTATTTAACATGAGTAGTATGGTATTCCGTTACCTTTGAACTTAACTTTTATTTGTTCTCTCTTTTTTAGCATTGCCAAATTTTGGTAAGCTTCTCATTATTATGTAGTTAATAATTATACATTCATAATTTTCTATAATTAAGTACACACATACACATACTTCATAAATCAGAGATAGATACATACATATATACTATAATGGAGAACATATTTGTGGCTTTAAATTCTAACATCCAGTTAATCTGCAATCTTGATGAATACTTTGAACTATTAGTTCATTCACATTGATTATTATAATTCCAAGTCACCAATATGTGTTCTTGTCTTCAATTTATCGTCTTATTAACTGACTTGACATATCACTGCTTTACTAATACAGCTTGTATTAATTGGGATACTTTATCGCTGATATAAAATAGTTAAATGACAACTCAAATTTGCAATAAGTCTTATATATGTTTTGATATATTTCCAAAACTAGGACGTTTACAGCGACAGACGAAAATGAAGATAAAGATGAGAAATTAAATATCTTCTCTCTTGCCTCTGGGCATTTATATGAAAGATTTTTGAAGATCATGATGCTAAGTGTTATTAAACACACTAAAACACCAGTCAAATTCTGGTTTTTAAAAAATTATCTTTCACCAACACTGAAGGTAAATGTCTATATAGCAAATAGTAATGAAATCTTCTCTATTCTTTTTCCAATTGTGAAAACAAGTAACAAAGTCTTTCTTATGATATAGGATTTTTTACCTCATATGGCTAAGGAATATGGCTTTGAGTATGAACTTGTTCAATACAAGTGGCCTCGTTGGCTTCATCAACAAACTGAAAAACAGAGGACTATTTGGGGATATAAAATTTTGTTCCTCGACGTACTGTTCCCGCTGAACGTTAAGAAAATAATATTTGTTGATGCTGATCAGGTAGAGAAATTTAAAATGTGTAGCGATATAATTATTCTTAATTATTTTATTTGTTTTTTTTTAATTATTTATCATTTTTGTACAGGTAGTAAGAGCAGATTTGAAGGAATTAGCAATTTTGGATCTTGGCGGTGCACCTTATGCGTATACGCCATTCTGTGACAGCAGAACCGAAATGGATGGTTTCAGATTTTGGAAGCAAGGATATTGGAGAAATCACTTGCAGGGTCGTGCTTACCACATTAGCGCGCTATATGTGGTTGATCTCAAACGATTCCGTCGTATTGCTGCCGGAGATAGGCTGCGTGGCCAGTATCAGGCATTAAGTCAAGATCCAAATAGCTTATCAAACCTTGATCAAGTATGTAAAACGAATAATTTTAATATTTACAATATAAAGAAGACTATATACTGTTACTTATTATAATCGTCACAACATCGTTTCTTTGCGTTTTTGTAAAATAATCGGTGACGATTTTAGGATCTCCCTAACAATATGATCCATCAAGTGGCCATCAAGACACTACCACAAGAATGGTTATGGTGTGAAACTTGGTGCGACGATGCATCCAAGAAATATGCCAAAACTATAGATTTAGTATGTATTTTCATTTACATCGCAAAAATGAATATGTTTATTTCTGTAAATGAAATATAATATTTCTAAAGTTTTATATTTATTAAGTAATTGTCTTTTTCTTTCTCGTTTCTTGTGTTATATAGTGTAATAACCCGATGACTAAGGAAGCGAAATTACAAGCAGCCATGCGTATCTTGCCGGAATGGGTGGGTTACGACGAAGAAATTAAAGTTCTGCAACAAAAGATAGAGAATGCAAACAGACAGACATGGAGAGACAACGGTATATTTCTCGCAATAAATCTTTTAAATGCATGCATATATTTCTTTTTACGAGACATTTATTATTTTTCTTTGTTTCAGAAACTGTTGAACATGTCTCAAGCCACAATGAATTGTAAATTATATATGATGATCTGAAGGATATATTGAATTCCAAGATTGTTAAACAAATTTTATAAAATTCTGTATAAAGAAATTTTCGTTTGTCCTAGATTAACAAACGTCAATACGTAAAAATTTATATATTTCACTTTTGTAATTAACGTTTGGCACTTATGTGTAAATATTTGCTACTGATACTCGTGTAAACTCTAAAAATAAGGATGTATTGGAAGCTGAAGGTCTCTATTACTTATTAGATCCATACTTCGTATAATATCTTAAATTATAATCTTCAAAACAATCTCATCTTTTCGTATTACAAACGCGCAAGATTACTACTTCTTTAAACCAAGTTGAAGCAAGAAGTCAGTAAAGTCCATAATTGCCGATATTACAGTATTCTGGTTGCTCATGAGCATACAATTCTGTTCATGTTATTGAGCCAATGTTGTGATTGATTATTGTCTACTATGATAGTTATAAGAAATAAACTTGTAATATTTGTAAAATATCTTTGATATTTCCTCCTGTAGACTATAACAAAGAAAGACAGAAGACAAAAAAAAAAAGAGTTAAAATCTTATCGACATTAGGCCTTTAAATAAAATTTGTCTGTACATAGTGTTATGTACCGATAAATTTATTCGTAGATACTAGAAATCCGATTCTATTTTTAATGAGTTTTTGCGATATATTTTTCAGCACGGATCATTGCATGCGTTAATGACGATTGTATCTTTCGTAGGAATTTATTTTGAACGCCGCGGCCGCGAAGCTAATTAGAGCGAGGCGAGTGAAGAAATTTGACACATTTCTGTAACCCAAACATTCCATAATACAATTCTTCGATCATATCGAAATGGGAATGATAGAGCAACGATCGGAGCAGGCTTAAAACCATTGCGTCCTATCATTGATCATTTTTCAATTGAGGATCGAGCATAATGCGCGAGGTCGCACGAAATGGATGTTCTAATTTCTTGTGATAAATTTATCATCGTTTATCTTATTTCGCTTATTTTGTGATTTCATTGGTAGATCAATGAATGCGTAAAAGCGCAACAACGCGGACTCGTCATCAGACATCTGTGCATCTAATCAGAAGCGGTTGCTATTGACCGCTCTCGTGGAGACAAAGATATCAAATTGATTGATTTAGGTCGTCATGTGTGCGTCCCCTTTGTTCATAATATTTATGTAAACACATCAAGAGAGAAAGAGAGAGCCAGACCGCCACGCACTAATGACATCTCCCGACGCATAGTAACCCCGCGCTGCCGCAGATTTGCCTTGCCTTGCCTTGCCTTGGCTGCGCGATCGGTTTGGCGGACGGCTTCTGTCAATTGTTCGATGCTCGCGCACCCGCGTCGTTCGCACTCCTCCTCGGCGATCTGCCTGGAAAATTCACGACATGGATAACAGCGGAGATAAATCCGCCGACGTAGAAATTCTCCCTGTAGTCGTCGAACAAAACAACATAGCCAATGAGTAAGTCTTGTTTTGATTATATATATATATATTTTGATGTTTGGATATAACTCGTTCTTGTACTTCTTGTTTGTTAGCAGATTTAATTCAGTTCGTAATTAATTGAGTTCGTCGAGCATTTGATACTTTACCAAAAAAAAAACAAAGACTTGTCTTTCTTAAAATGAGACCTTGTGGATAGCAAAATTGTTCCGATAATTTGATATATAAATTAAATAATTGAAACAATTTAAAACAACACTGAATGAGGAAAATAATTAGAAAATGAAGAAAAGAGTGCTTCTTAAATTAATTCTTGAGTTGAAAAATTAAAAATTTATTTTTATATATTTATTACTAAAATTTATAGTACATAGTACAAGTATTTATATACTTTTTTTGTTTTTTGGAATTGTTGCATTAAATTGTATTATTTATGTATAAAAAACCCATTATTACAATAGCAAGTTATCGAGTATCGACCAAACGTACGCGTTATCAAACGGTCACAAATCTTGACAGTGACAAAAAATGCAAAGTAATTTTCATCGACTATTATTGTTAGAAAGTTTATAAACTGATGGCAATTGTAATACTAATATAATTTATCGAAAAATCTAAAATAATAACGTGTTAAAAATTATCCGTATCAGGGACATGCCAATCATTAAAAATCCTGCTACCTTTACGCTTTTTTATTATCGGCGACGTTCGTAAACGTAGTTTTTGATAGACAGTCGGAGGTCATCCATTAATAGATATTATTTCTTTCTGACTGTCCAACATTCTGTGTGTGACGACTTTTTTTTCTTGCGATTACGTTTCCGCGTAAACGTAAAAAGGCAACCCTAAGTATCCAATTGTTTTACACGAAACCCTACCCCTCGTCTTGCGATATCCTGCCGAATGAGTTACAAAACATCATTGCACCAGATAGCAGTCAGTAGTTCTGGTCGAACACTACCGTGAAAATGGACTTCGGTTGCACCATCGATGAGTAAATAACAAGTTCACAATTTTTCTTATCTCTTCTCGCGCTTTTAATATTATTATTTCAATTTATCAAAATTGCTAAGTTTGATTTCGACAAACGATTCAATTTCAATTGACTCCAATCAAGCAATTGCATGATCCAGGATCTCAAAACATTACCGGGATCTTGGATAGCGCGGAGACGTACAATTTAGAATCGAAAACTTCCGCATTACATTGTGTTGATTTATGAGTTTATATCATGTGAGAGCGTAGCTTTAGATAAGACTTAGTTAGAGATAATTTATTAAGTATTCCCATCTTCTCGTTACTCGCACATTCATTTTTCCAAGTATCTCATATCATGTATTTGCATTGCGCATTGATCAATGATGCACAATGCAAACCATGGCATCCATGCATACGACTATCAGCATTTAAAAAGAAGTATACGTAACAGGCATATCTTTATTATATTTCATCGCACGTCGAGAATGACTGTCTATATTTTTATACTGCATCTATATTTTTATGCTGCGAGTGAACACGATTTTCATCATACAACTAAAAGTTAGACGAACATTTTTTGACGTTAAATTTGACACACTAAATTTGACATACTATATATAATTTGACGTTAAATTTGTTTTAATTTAATTTATTATAATTCTTTATATTAATTTGTTGTGAAATTCAACTATTAGTAAAAAAAAAAGAGAATACCTATGTAAATATTGTACTGTTCTCTTTCAGCTTATTTACCTTCTTTTAAATTGTCTCTTTTGTAGCTGCTTTATTAATCATTTAATATTCCAAAAAGACAATTACACGAATACATGACACAACAGAAAAGATATTTACTTTTCAAGAGCGTGCTTGAAACAATTACTATGCAAATTTATATCATATATTTTGTGTTGTCTTCTTCGAAAGTATTTAAGCTACCATTTCCACGTCTCCCTCACTGAAATCTTTATCTTATCTAACACCGGTCTAAAATAAGTCGGTAGTCCTAAGTCTTATCGGTGAATCGGTGAAATTGGCCAACAGCTAACTTGTACGACTAAGACTCTGTTTTTCTTTATCTTGTTAACTTGTGATTAAGTTTAACCTGATGTTTCACCCAATGGATTTCATTCATGATATCATAAATAAAGCCTTCCATTTTGAATAAAACATTAAATTAAACTTAAAAGTGCGTTCCATTTGGCGCTCACAATGCTCACGAGTATTATTTGTCTTTGTAATATTTGATAAATAACAAGGATAAAATGATTCCATGAGCGTTTCAAGCATCAAGTGGAAGGCACCCTCACAAAAAAATTTAAGCAGTAAAATGTAACAGGACCATAAGGCCATAACGTAATCGGTAAATCCAATATGTTGATTTCCTTACGTCTTACTACTTAAGATTTTGGGTGTTAAAGTCTTAATTAACGATACTAATTTCCTTAAGATTAGCCAAATTCAACTTTCTTCCTTTCCATTGGTCGCCAAACGACTCACTGTACAATTAACGACTTATTGTGAATGTGAAAAATTATAATAGTCATCTACTTAAGGGGAGGTTGTAAGGACATGAAATACATATATTAATACGCTTTAAACAAACTAGATACATGTGAAAGTTACGTTCATAACATTCTGTTTTTATTGAGCAACACATTTTTATGGATTATTTTATTTGTTATTAGTTTTATTGTTATAAACAAAAATTTTTTAAATAATAACAAAAATCTGAATTTTTTTTATGTAAATATTTTAAGTACTAAAAATGACTTATGCAAAGTTTCATTGAGATTCACCAATTAGTTTGTAACAAATATTTTGTTTATTTACTAAACAACTAATGTCGAATCGATTCCATTATCTCATTTCTCACACCGATTTATTGTAGACCCGGCGTAAGATTCTTTTACAGATTTGTTATGATAATTTTGGAAGTCATCAACAAAGGCTGTTGTGATGAAGTCTCTACATTTTTCCAAGGGCAAATCAATTTTCGCTCGATCAGGGAATCTGTTAAAATTTAACGCAGTCGGAGCATGACGTGATCGCAGGAAGAATCTCTCGATTATGAAATCCGCTTCCTCGCGTGATCGACAATCGTCTCTCTGAATCGTCGCGTGCTTCTGCATCACGTGTATCAGCAATACCTCTCTGGAAAGTTACGTGAACGTTGCCCGCGTATTTATTTCACCTTCGCCACTCTCTCAGTCTCAATTCGCGCTCCATGGCGAGATCCGTGATGTGATCGTAGACTTTCGCTTAGACTCGCTTTGTCCAACAGGATCTCTCGCTATAATCTGTATTAATGGAGTTTTAAGAAACACATCACTGATCTAAAGAATTTTTTCCCTTTCTTTTTTGGAAAAGAAAATCGTGGAAAATTGACATTTCGCGTCAATCCCGCGCTGGACTTTTGAATGAACGCTGGTCTCATTCGAGACTTGAGCGAGATTGATAAGACGTATACTGCAATCAGCGTGATTATGGCGAAGACGTCAATGCGAAAGGGATAAACGACCACATTTGCCGATAAATTCGCACGAATTATTCGCACGACTAACCCATTGCGAATTGCGGATGCAACAAACCGGATCCGACTTGTGAAAGCACCTGTTGACACCATGCGGGGTCGTCAAATTCTAAGATACAAGATGTATCGGTGAATGGTGATACACTAGATACAACAAGGGTGGGGGTGTTTAGAAGTTTTAAAAACTGAGCAACGTGCGTGATAAGAAGTTTTATCTAAAAAGCGGCTAATTCGATTAATCAGAATTTCTTAAATCGGAGCTGCTTTTTCCTCAACGATTTCTCCCAGACGAGTTCAAAGTCACTTGAAATTATGGGCTACTAAAAAATAGTCTGTGTTCTTTATGAAGTTGAGTGTGGGACGAAAGCTCGACGGGACGTATCTTCTCCAAATGGAGATAGAAGAAAGAGACGGTGAGAGAAGATAGAGCAAGGAGTGAGAGAGTGACGTATCAGTGTGAGTGGGGATTTCTGATAAAGACAGACTATCTGCAAGAAAAGGCAGAGAGACTGGAAAGGAAAGATATAAAAAAAAAGGAAAGAAAAAGAGAAAGAAGAGTAGAAAGAGAATGCTCGTATATAAGAAGGAGACGGACCGATCGCTAATGTTAGATCTTTTATCTGTTAGACGAGCGGGCCCAGGCTGACCGCGGGTCTTCTTGCACCGAAAGAGCGGCAGGCCGCAGCTCCGTGCCTTCGTTCTTCGTTCGACGAGTGACGGTTGCAGTCGATTCGCGTCTCTCTGGTCGTCCGGAGGACAACAATCCACACGACTTCGCTGATTACAACACGCACCAGTCACCGTGCCTCCTTCCTCGACCGTCGCCTCCACCCGCGGCTTCTCCGCCTCGGACGAATCGCGATTTTATCTTCCTCTTTTTTTCTGGCATTCGTCTACGACTCGACTCGACGAAGGATCGCTTTCGAACGGATCCCGTTCAAAGAAGACCAACACGGCGACGTCGCGCCATCGGCGGCCGACCGACTGAGAGCTGGCTGGATCCGCGTACGCTCCACCTCGGGATCGATCATGGATGACGAGAAAATCAAGCTGTGAGTTTCTTTTCAGTCGCAATCTTTGGTCCTCGCTGTGCGCGAGTCAGGTGAGACATGGCGAAGGAGAGGTTGCGATTGCACGAGACCAGCGAGTGGAAAATTTTGCGAGATCGCAGAAACTTCGAGAGAAGGGGCTATTGTCAATCTTTCAGATTGCACTCCGTATTACGGGTTTCGGTTTGCTCTGCAGCTTTGAAGGATGCAGCTGTGGCATTTCGATGCGCGACTAATTGTTCTTCGTAATTTGTGACGAGCTTGATTTTTTAAGAGAGACGACGGTGTTGCGTGAAAGTATGACAAGTGGTGTCTGTTGGAATCAGAAAAATTGGAATGTGTTTCTCGAGAGAGTATCTTTTGGAGAATTGTTGATCTTCACAGTTAATATTCGCACATGAATATTGAAGGTGTCGAACTTCTTCTCTTTTCGGAATATATTGCTCGATATCATATTCTTG